TCAATTGCCCTCTCTAGGCTCTGTTCTGGCAACTACAACTTGGCCAGGACGCTGCTTACCTCTCGACGCCCTTGTGAGGAAGCCTCAACATCATGAACTCCGGCGCATGCGTACAGAGCACCTACCGCGTGCCAGGCACAGAGGAAGCCTCGACGGGCAGCACCCTGCCCCCCACGGAGCTTGCACACCACCGGTGGGTAATGACAGGTAATCCCCCGCCTGCCACTCTGCTCCAGGCTTTACGGACATTTCTGGGCAGTAACTCTTCCCATTCCCCCAGCAGTTCCGTGAGGCCAGTGTTATTTCATCCCCATTTTCAGGTGCGAAAAGGGAGGCATGAGGGCCGCTTGGCTTCCCCCAGGCCATGCTCCTGACCAGCTGAACACATGTGACCCACTCAGCCCAGTGCCCTACTCAACCCCCGTGGCAGCGGCTACTCTTGCTGGTGGGGCACCCTTCCCCCTCCTTCTTGCCTCTGCCCAAGGATCTTGGTCCAGGCGCGAAGGGGGTGGGATGCCCTTCTCTTTGGGGGCTTCTTGGAGCAGACAGAGGGGACTCTCCCCAGCTGCCCTGAGGAGGAGGCAGAGACCCACAGGTGCCAGGGTTCCAAAATGCTCTGTGTTCGGTGAGCACCCCTCCCGGGCCCTGAGATGAAGGGCCCTGGCATCTCACCGCCATACCCAACACCCCAAGCAAGGGTGGTGGGGCCCGAGGGACAGAGTGTCAGCCTGCCGGCGGGAATGACCAGCACGTGGGCAGCTTACTTAGTCCTCGTCTTTTTTGCTGTCTCTCCACCTGACCGTCCCAACCCGTCCCTGGAGAGCCACCAAATTCCAGAGTCAGCGTCCACTCGGGCTCTCGGGCAGGGCAGGCTTTGTCCCAGAATCACCTTGGCACCTATCCGCCTTCTCAGAGATGGAGGGCACGAGGGAGAAAGGTTCTGGAGAAAGCGCAAAAGTCAGAGGGCTCTGGGCGGGGGAGGGGGCAGGCAGAGGTGCCAGAGACTGGCTGGCGGCCCAGGCCTCAGCCCCTCCGTGGCTCCATGTGACTCCTCTGCTATATTTGGAGCGACCCACTCACACCCTCCGCTGTTTTCAGGTAGCAGGGCCCGAACCCAGTGCAGCCAGGCCCACAGAGGCCAGCTTCCTTACGGATCCTTTTTCCCTCCGCCTCCAAACCAGGGGACCCGGGGACTGTGCCAGGGGTCAGCTGGAAGTCCCCTGTGGCCCACCAGAGGACCTCTCCCACTCAGAGCTGTCTGGATGGTAACCTGCCTCTGTAACTCTCAACACCTGTGTTCCTTGGGAGCCTGGGCGGGGGGGGGGGGGGGGGGGGGGGCCCGGGGGGGGGGGCGGACAGAGAGTGGGGTCACACATCCTTCAACTTCTTACTTTGCAAATTTTACCTAAAACCGAAGTCCACAGCGCCCCCCCCCCCCCCAGTGGCTCAGTCGGCTGGGCCACTGACTTCGGCTGAGGTCATGACCAATCATGATCGTTCGTGAGTTCGAACCCCGCGTCGGGCTCTGTGCTGACAGCTCAGAGCCTGGAGCCTGCTTCAGATTCTGTGTCTCTCTCAAAAATAAATAAACATTAAAAAAAAAAAAAACTAAAGCAAAACCAAAAACAAAGCCAAAGTCTACAGAATTTAAGAACGAACTGCCACGTACCCATCCCCCAGCTTCAATAGTTAGCAGCTCGTGGCCAATCTCCTGTCACATATACGACACCCAACTTTCCCTCCTAATTTCCTCTGTCAATACTTTGGCATGTATCTTTGAAAGATAATGACTCTTTTTTAAACAAGCACAATCGTTACACCTAGTGCCTTAGTATTCCTTAAAGTTAATAATAATTCTTTAAATCAGATCTATAATGTTCAGATTTCCATCCGTCAAAAATGTCTTTTTTTTTTTTTTACAATGCATTTGTTTGAATCAGGATCCGAATAAGTACACACACTGCAACCGATTAATGTGTCTCCTTTATATCTCTTTAAATCCATTGGTTCCCTATCCAATCCTCTCTCTCTCTCTCTCTCTCTCCCTATCTTTTTTCTTGAGGGAACCAGGTCATTTGTTGTGCAGTTTTCGTCTGGGTTTTGCTGATTTGCATCTCTAGGGTGTTCTTTAACATGTCTCTCTGGCCTCTGTACTTCCTGTAAATTGTATTTCCTGTACATTGTTATTTCCTGCAAATTGTAGTTGGATTGAGAGTCCTGATCAGGCGTAGGTTCTATATTCTTTAGCAAGACCGCTTCACAGATGGTGGTATTGCTTCTTCCATCCGGAAGCACGGGCAACCACTGATGCTCTGTGCCTCATCTATCAGCCTTTCCCCGCCTCCCTCCCCAAAATGGTGATATTCCCATTCAATCACTCCTTCCTTTATTGGCTGGAATAATTCTAGACCCAGCAATTGCCCCTCACTTACTGTTTGGTTACTGAGTGGTATGAAGGCAAGGTGGGATAAATACTTGGTTCTGTTCTTGTATTTACCAATTTTGAGGTAATGAATTGATTCTCTAGCATCCCTCGAACTTTGGCCGGTTAGCTTTTTTAAAAAACGTTAGTAGCACAATTATGACTTTATGGCTTTAAACATATTTGATCTTCAATCCACGGTGACTGGTATCGCTCCTGACCTTCATACTGTCCCTTCATGAGCTCCCGCTGTGGCCCCCTCCCGCTGGAGCATCCTTCTGGGGCGACTGCATCCTTCTGGGTCATCTCTGCATCTCAGTGTTCTCAGCCTGGTCTCCACCTGTGCCACCCGCACCTGTCTCCCCAGCCTTCCACCTGACCTCCGCCTGTCAATGTCTCAGTTTAAGTCCTCTGGTCCTTTGTCCCTGGCTTTGCCCATCTCAGTGAATATTTCCTGAAGGAATGAATGACTGAATGAATCAATGCATCATCTCCCCAACTCTCTCAATCTACTCTGTCTCTGTGAGCCTCTTGATTTCTGAAGGCCATATTTTCTTCGTCTGTATCTGCAACCGGGGATTATTTGTTGTCACGAGGGACAAAGGAAAGGGATTCTCATCATTGTGATCTGATTGTCGCATCTGCCTCCCAGACTCCACCCACATCTTTCCTCCCCTCCTCTTCACCGCCCCCAGCCCACAACAAAGGATGTGATCTGTCAGTCTGCCACGAGAGGGCGCGTTCGCGGCTGCGACCCGGACCTGCGCCTGCGCAATGTTGGGACAGAGCAGGGCCTGGTGGGGGCGGGGGGAGGGGTCGGGTAGGGGGGCGGGGGGAGGGGCGGGAGCGCCCCGCCCCGGGTTGGGGATGCGCGTCACTAGTGTTGGCTGAGAACCGCAGCTAGAGGAGGCGACGCTAGGGGAGGCGACGCAGGAGGAGGCCGACGGCCTCGAGCCTTACCTCGTCCTCCCCTTCCGGGTCCAGAGGATGTTCTTCCAAGTGGGGAGGAGAATCCGCATGGAGGCAGGGAACTGGACACAATGCCCTCTTCCCCACCATCCTCATCATTTGTTATCAACCCTCTGACTTCCAAGCACGTCTATCTTTGCCCACGGCATTGGGGGCACCAGTCTGAGGACCTAAGGGTACCCAGAATCCGCCCTTTATCCTTGAACTTCAGCCCTCAAAGAGGTTTCTTGAAGCCTTGTGACCGCCCAGGGCAGTCAATCCTGAGTCTGAGAATCCCAGAGACCATCCCTGACCAAACTTTTTAGCTTACAGGAGAAACAGAGAAGGGGAGGGGACAGTCAGAAGTCTCACAGCACAGCATTCTGCCCAGCTAGCTCTCCGGACACGGACACGCACGGAGCGGAGGGGAGACACTCCTTCCCTGGAAAGCGGGGGTAATAAGAACCAATGAGATAATGGAAGCCAAAGTGCTTTGTAAACTGTATAAAGCTCTGGAGAAAGGAAGGGGTCTTTTATTTATTTATAGCTGACGGTGCAAGACAATAGCTGCCCAGGGCCAGCCCACTGGCGCAGCCGGAGAGCTGGAAGAAGTCAGATTTAGAAGCTACTGCTCAGTGATAGAAGGATTAGGGAAAATAAAAGAAAGGAACTCTCTGACATGTTTCGCGGATGGTATGATTATTTATATAGAAAAATCCAAGAGATACTACAGGCATGTCATGAGGGCTATTAAGGGAGATCAACAAGGTTGCTGGACCAAAATTAACATCCAGATGCGATTAAAATACCAAATGCCACGGTGTTCCTGGACACTCACAATGTTACTGGAAACTAATATATTTTTTTAAAAATAAATTATTAACAATACTATTAAGATTGGACAGAACCCTGAAAAAACCGCGCGGATCCTTATGAAGAAAAACTGTGAGCCATAAAACTGTAAAAACTCTAGGCTATAAGAGGAAAAAGTGGAGAGATGTATTGAATTTAGGGGTGAGAAGCCTCAGTGTCCTGAAAACAGCTCTCTCCGTATTAATCTTCTGATTCGATGTGAGTCCAATAAATACGCCAATAGGACGTCAGGCAAGGCTCTTCTAAAATTCATACGGAAGAGCTGGGGACCAAGAGGCCAGACAGTTCTGAAAAAGAATAAGCCCCTGACAGATACCAAGACTTCTTTGAAAGCGATATTAATGAAAACAATGTGGTATCAGTGCCGGGCTAGACAAAGAGATCAATAGAAGAGACTGCCCAGAAACAGATCCAAGCATATGTGGGAACGTGATTTATGATGTCAGCGGCATTGCGACTCCGTGAGAGGGAATAGGCTATGTAATAAAAAGGGTCTGGAATTTTTAAAATAATAATAAACAAAAGGTTAGCGTCCAAGATAGAGAAAGAGCTCCTGCAAGCCAATAAGGAAAGCACAGACGTTTCGAGTGCCACCCCAAATGGCATTCTTTCCCTTCCTCCCTGCTCATGGAACCCTGGTCTGATTCAGGAATCAGGAGTCTAGGCTTTTGAGAAGGCTGGGCCTTCCCCAGCTGCGTCAGGTGAACGGCGATCGGTCTACATATAGCATAATTCAGCTCCTCCGGTCCGTGGCTGGCTTAGGGGTGGACGTGTATGCGATTCTGGCCGCCAAGACCAGAAGGGAGATCTCCGGTGGGGCCTCTGGAAGAAAACGTCCACTTCCTTCTACCTTCTGGACGTTTGTCGGCACACGACACCTGGAGCAGAGGCCACTTTTGTGGACCATGAGGGGCTGGTCCTAGGAGGCAAGCCACCGTGATGAGGAGGATATTGTGGAAAGATGGAAAGAACCTGGTCCTTGACTGTCACAGCTGAGATTCTGAATTAACCAACCCTAGGACTTCTTGCTATAAGGAGGCAACAAAATTCCTTTTTTGCTTAAAGCACATCTAGCTGGGCTTTTTATAACTTGTATCAAAAGGTGCAACAGGGGCGCCTGGGTGGCTCAGTCAGTTGGGCGGCTGCCTTTGGCTCAGGTCACGACCTCACGGTTCAGGGGTTCAAGCCCCATGCGTCGGGCTCTCTGCTGTTGGCATGGAGCCGGCTTCAGATCCTCTGTCCCCCCTGCCCCCGCTCCCCCACCTCTCTGCACCTCCCCCACTTGCACGTGCACTCTCTCTCTCAAAAATAAAATAACACGTTAAAAAAAAAAAAAGGTGCAATGGATAGTAAAGGAGACGGTCAGAAGCAATTCGACCAGAGGGAACCCAGATGGCCAACAAGGACGAGAGAGTGCTCGACTTCTCACAGGCAGGGGACGCGCAGGCTCAGATGAGATACTGCTTCACACCCATCAGACCGACAAAAATAAAAAGTCTCCCAAGAGCAGCTGTTGGCAAGGATGTGGTCAGACAGGACATCTTGTACAAACGTTGGTGGCGAGGGCACAAAGTGGAGCCCTCGCTGGGGAGAGCAGTGGGGCGGAACCAGACAAGTTGAAAGTGTGCCTGCCCACGCCTCCGGCTCTCTGCTCCGAGGTGTACCTTCTCCGGACGGGCTCACGCGAGTACCGGGGTGTTCATTGCAGCCCCGTTTATAATGACGAAACACAGAAACACCTCAAACGCCCTTCAGTAGAGAGGAACTGATAAATAAATTGTGGCTTATTCCCCTGCCGACATGACAACCAGAAGTTAAAGTGAAGGAATCGAAGCCACACATGTCGGTGTGGCTCCGCTGTGAAAGTCCCACCAAATGAGAAAAAGACACAAAATGATCCGCACGACAGGAGGGTGGTTATATACATCCCAATAATGGAAAAAGCGTTACTGTCTCCTGCTTTAGGAAGACATCAATGTGTAGGGGAAATATCAAATTATGGGCTAGACTTAATAAAGCGAGGAAATGCTGATCACGGGCTACAACACGGAGGAGCCTCGAAGATGTTGTGCCAAGCGAAGTAAGCCAGGCACAAAAGAACATATGCTGTATATGATTCCGCTTGCATGGGGTACCGACAGTTGTCACATTCATGGAGACAGACAGGAAGTAGAACAGTGGTTGCCAGGGGCGAGGGGAGGAAGACACGGGGAGTTGGTGTTTAATGAGTACAGGGTTTCAATTGGGAGGACTAGAAAGTTCTAGACATGGACGGTGGTGTTGGTTGGTTGCAGGACAATGTGAATGTCCTCAACGCTACTGAACCGAACACTTCAAAGGGTTGAAAGAGCCAATTTTATGTTATTTTCCATATTTCACAATTTAGAAAAATAATAACTTGTGGGCTATAAAGGATGCATCCCAAATTTATGACGGTGGGTAGGGTGGGCAAGGGGACCCGGGAGAAAGAGAAAGCACCAGCTTCCATGTTCTGTTCTCTTCTATGAAGGAACCCGAAGCAAAAATGATGCAAGGCTAGCATTTGTAAATTCTGTTTGTTAGGTGATTCTCTGAACTTTTCTTATTTCTAAAGAAACTCTTCAAACTGAAATTATATACGTCGTGTATCATATATATGATATATGAGATCATACGTATCATATATGAGATCATACATATCGTATATGATATATCTCATATATCATAGATATCACATATATCGTCACACTTCTTTTTTTTAGAAAGAAGAGTTTTCTGAAATAGAACTGCTCTGAAGTGGCAGGATTTGTCCCCTCGAGGTCACCCGAAGCACAAGGGGTCGAAAGTGGGAGGCGGGAGAGCTGGCCTATGGAGGTTGTACCTATGCCAGGTGCCACACCAGGCTGAGCCTGCCAGGTGGGAAAGGGGCCGGCATGGGCAACATTTTCTTTTCCCTGACCCAGAGCAGGTGAGGCAAAGGCGGATGGAGGAAGGGAACTCTGAGAGCCGGTCTCCTCCTCAGGCACCCACTGCACAAGATCCAGAGAGCAGATGAAAAACAGAAGCCACCATCCAAACACAGGAATGTATATTATTAGCAGTTGGAGCAGGCACTGGCGTCCTTCGAATCCGCTGCCGACCAACTATATTGCCCAATCCTTCCGGTTCATTTTTTTCTTTGACCTCCCTGCATGTCTCTGGAGCTCCCACAGCTATGGCTGTCTGCGTTGCAAAATACATATTTACAGGCCCTCTAAGCCTGGCTAAATATAGGCTTTCTTTTAAAGCAACTGATGAGTTGGAGAAATCTTTCTTCTGTCCCATCCCTTCCCCACTCCCCAACACACACACACACACACACACACACACACACACACACACACACTGACTCTCCTTCCACCGGTGGGCGCCAAAGGACCCCTGTCCTTGCTTAGGCAATGGGGGACTCTTGAGGCATCAACAGCAGGAATGAAAAACCCTTTGGGAAGTGGAGAAGGGAGGTCACTTTCACTTCAGGGATGACCCCAAAAGATCTGGAGGACCTTCAGTCAGGGGGCGTTTATATTTCAGAAGTCCACACAATAGACCTCAGAAGGAGGGGCGCCCTGGTGGCTCAGTAGGTTGAGCGTTCGACTCTTAATTTTGGCTCAGGCCATGAACTCACGGTTTCAGCATCAAGCCTTGCATCAGGCTCTGAGCTGAGCGTGGAGTCTGCTTGGGGTTCTCTCTCTCCCTTTCCCCCTTCTCTGCTTTCTCTCTCTCCCTCTCTCTCGCTCTCTCAAAAATAAATGGACATTGCAAAAATTAACAAAAAAAAAAAAAAAATACAGCTTAGAAGGAAACAAGAGGCTGGAAGCTTCATAAAGACCCACACGGATGGGACGCCTGGGTGGCTCAGTCAGTTAAGCGGCCGACTTCAGCTCAGGTCATGATCTCTCGGTCCGTGAGTTCGAGCCCCGCGTCGGGCTCTGTGCTGACAGCTCAAAGCCTGGAGCCTGTTTCAGATTCTGTGTCTCCCTCTCTCTGACCCTCCCTTGTTCATGCTCTGTCTCTCCCTGTCTCAAAAATAAATAAAACGTTAAAAAAAAAAAAAAAAGACCCGCACGGAGATGCCAACGTGGACGCCCAATTTTGGCCACACCTGCTCACACATGTGCACACACCTCCATACATGTTCAGATGCACATGCAGGCAACAACAGGAGACTTACCAAGTTCCTACTTTGTGCCAGGAGCTGTTCTAAATGCATAAAGCACTCACAGAACTCATTTAATCGTTAACACTCTGAGGTTGCTATGTTTTCTCCAGTTTACAGATAAAGAAAGTTGCTAAAATCCCTTAACTGGCAAGTGGCAGGTTGGGAACAAAGACAGTCTGGCTTCAGAGCCCCTGTTCTGCCTGGCTCCACAGAGAGTGGGGGAGCCCCAGGGTCCCCTGTGCTCAGGAGACTCACTCAGACATACAAATTGAGCTTTCTGAGGAAATTAGGCTTAGGGAGGGAAAATGACTAGCCCCAGGTCACCCAGCAAATGCACGAAGCTATGATTCAGTTCAGACCTTTTGAACCACAGCCTAGTCTTTCCTCTAAAACCGGGTAAGTCACTTCCCTCTGCCTGTGTCTCAGTCCTTCTCACTCCCCTGGGAAGCGGTCAGCCAAGGGCCACTAAAGCACCCCCCT